CATCTACACTGCCTTTTTTAGTCCCATAGTGCAAGACCCACCAGCCCGAGTCTGTAGACTCGGCCTCTGAGGCTTGCTGCCACTGGGGTTGTTTTTTGCAGTGTAGACATAGCCACAGAGGTTACAGTCTAAGGCCTGAGGCTGAACATATACAGTAGTAACTGGAGCACCATATGAGGGGCAAAGGCATCCCAGCTTGTGCGTTTCACTTCCCCAGCAACCACGCTCTCCCACGTGCTAGGGAGCATCCATCTCCCATGGGCCATGCTGTTCATTTCAGACTCAAAGTTACTTCCATTCTGCACAGATTTGGGGTCATCCACCTGCCCTTTGCATGCTGGTCTTATTTGCTGCAGAAATAAAGTCTCCTGAATGAGTTATGGGCACAAAGCCCAGCAGGTTACAGTTTTTGCCTACCTCAGAGAGAGAGAGAGAGAGAGAGAGAGTGAGTGTGTGTGCGCATACGAGCATGCACCCTGCACTGTGCGTCTTTATTGCACACTGGGGCCCTGGGCTGATGAGAGGTCCGATAGAAAACAGCGTGCTAGGGAACCCGTTTTGAAGATGCAGTTACCAAGAGTTAACCTGTGCTCAGAAACATTCTCATCAGTTAAGCTGCAATTCCCATAGCAGATCCTGGCACTTTAGCTACCAGCATCTTTAGCTGCTACTTTACAATCAGCGCAGCTGAAGGGTATGAAGGAAAGGTGGCTGTAAACCACCTCCCTGTTCCCTTGATTCTGGACTGGCCCAGGGCTGAGACATAGAGCAGCCTCAGGGCTGCTCTAAGTTTCATGCCCATTGCAACAGGCTGTATGGAACACCGTGCAGCTTGAGGATCTGACACTCTGCCCCCCACTCCTCCTGGCCTCTCTGTGATCGTCTACTCTGGCTCTACACCCCCTCTGCCAGGGGGAATCAATAGAGGCCCCTTTAAGGCAGCATTCCAGCTGGTTTGTGCCACTGAGGCAGGGCTGAGGAGCCATAGGGTCAAGGATCTGGCCCCTCGTTTTCATGGGCGCTGAGGTTCATACTAAAAAGAAGGAAGGACTCTGCCCAGATGCACATGACTTAGGTTGGCAGAGGAATTCTCACCCTGCCCGCACCCCCCGCCTCCATCCTGTTTAAGGCCAGCCTGCCAATGCACCACCAAAACTGCCTGTGCAGCCCAGCCAGTGTTTACTTGTGTGAATGCAAATGACTGTTATTAACTGAAGAGGCTATTTACTTAAAGCAGCGGGGCTGGCAGTCAGCGCTGGCGCTCATTTGAACCATTGTTCCACAGGAGAGCCCTGCCTGGCCCACAGCCGCTGCACAGGCGTCTCTCCAGCTCCTCTGCTTTGCTTTCTTCTTACACTCCCTCCATTTGCCATCCCTCTCCTGATCATTTTCTCAGCCAGCTGGGCACAAAGGGACCAGATTCGGGTCTCAGCCTGCAGCAGTGTAAATCGGAGTCGCTGCCGGCATCCTTGCTGCCCCCCTCCGTGCCTCGGTTTACCCCTCTGTAAAATGGGGATAATGATACTTCCTGGGGCCTGCTGTGAGGGAGGGAGGATCAGGATTGGGAGCCCGCGGTGTGTGCAGCGGTCGGGCCATCCTGGGGGTGGAGGGATCAGGACTGGGGCAGCAGGAGCTGAGATCTGAACTGTGCGGGGGTATTGCATGGTGCCCAGGGGAAGCTCTGGAGAGCGCTTGGGCAGGGCCGTCCTTAGGCCTATGCAGCATACGCGGCTCGTAGGGCACCCGAAAATTTGGGGAACCACCGGCACAGCACGTAAGAGCGGGTCAGGTCCCGCACACCCAGTGCACACTGCCGTCTCCTTAGGCAGGGGCCGTATTCACAGAGCCAAATGCACCAACGCATTCTGCGTGCGGGAGAGGGTACGGGGGTCTCTGCGGGGAACTGTGGCTCTTCACTGCCATGAGGCGGGCCGGGCGGCTCGGTATCCTTTGCTGCCTCGTCCCTCCCGGGCTGTTTCAATACCTCTTCGTAATAATTTCCAATAAAGTGTTAACAAATTTAAAAAATTATCTTATTTGCATCATTCTGTCAATAAATCAGAATTTTTTCTATAGCGCTACTTCTTTAGTGCAAGTATAGTCCATCTGCAATATGGTGTGTGCTTCATTTGTTTAACCTGGTTTTAATAAAGTGCATGTGGCAATTTTTCCAATACTGTAAGCTTATGTTTGTGTTGCTAAGAGCAAGTTGGGCATAGGGGCACCAGTTTAATAATCCTGCGGAGGACCCCATAAATCCTAAAGTCGGCCCTGCGCCAGGGGGAGGGGAACAGGATGTGAGGGAGGGCAAGGTGCCTCCTATTTGTTTAGAGGCCTTTGGTGAGTTTCTAGCTGAATTCTCATCCTGACACCTGTACACATGTGCACACACAACAGAGGTGCAAGCACACACTCAGGCACACACACACACACACACACACACGCTCGTGTGCATGCCCACACACATGCAAACTTACATTGCACACGCACTGCATGCACACACCCATTACACACTGCATGCACGCACATTGTATGCACACACCCATTGCACACACACCCTGCATGCACACACCCATTGCACACACACATTGTATGCACACACACATTGCGCACACACACTGCATGTACACTCCCATTGCACACACACTGCATGCACACATCCATTGCGCATGCACACTGCACACACACACAATGCATGCACACTCCTATTGCACACACAATGCATGCACACACCCATTACACACTGCATGCACGCTCTGTATGCACACACCCATTGCATGCACACACACTGCATGCACACACCCATTGCGTACACACACACACACTGCATGCACATACCCATTGCATACATACACACACACACTGTTTACACGCAACCATTGCACACGCACATCCAAGGCAGCATGTTTTACGTGAAGAGTATAAATCAGATAACAGACCCCCCCCCCCCAGACCATGTGGTTAAAAGATGAAGCTGCTGGATTTTAAACTAATGTCGGGGGGAGGGATGGTCTCTTGGAGTTTGAAGTCATTGGATTAGCAGTGCTGGGAATACAGGGACCACAAACTCAATGGGTCAGCAATCAAATGTTTGTACTTCAGCGTGTCACTGACCTGACAGTGCCCTGCCAATGCTTTGGTTGAGGAGGGCTGGAGGGAATCTTTTGATCCCAGCTGTAATATTCGCTGCCAGAAATGGCACCCTAAATATTGGACACTCCTGGGCCTTCAGGGTCTTGGGGATCCAAACCCCAATCTGCTCATGGATTTTGCAAATGGCCTTTCTCTTTATAATGGGCTGGGCCAACTCCCCTGCTCTAATTCCCCTCAGAAAGCCAGATCCAGTTTGACCTTTGTGACTGGTCCCCATCCCTGTTACCCAGCTGGGCATTTGCTTAGAACACGACAGCATGTCCAGTGGGAAGCTGCACAGTCCAGTAGGTTCTATCCCTGGTTCTGCTATTGGCTCGCAATGTGACTGTGTATAGGTCACCAAAGCCAATCCGAAATGATCCCATGGAACTAATGGGATAGTTATAGCCCTCATCTGTCTCTCGCCAAAGCAGCCTGAAGGCAAATCAGCTGTTCCCTTAGTTACTGCATAACCTTTGCGGTCTTTTCCCATCTTCAGAACACGCTTCTGTATCTTCTGGAGTCCTTCCTCGCCTCCCCTGCGTTCAGTGCTACAGGTGTGAACTCACCTGCCCTCTGCAGAGTGCCTGGGTCCCTCAGCCTCAGCAGCCGCAGCTCCATTCACTTCTGCACACTGCATTGCTGTTGAAATTCACCCAGCCCCCTTGCTAGCACGTTGGGGTGGGGAACGCTCCCTCCACAGTCCTCATAATAATAATTAATAATGTATTAATAGCAGTAACGTCTGTAGCCATGTGGAATCTTGTTATTCTTAAAAACACCAAGAATTAGATAACCCAGCCGGCCGAGAAAGGCCTGCTCTGTGCTTCCAGAAGGATACACAACGCCAGGGTCCATCCCTATTAGCGTGGGGCCACTCCCTCTGCATCAAGACTTGGGGATCAAGAGAGGACCCTTTAATGTCCCATGCACCCTACTGCCTACCCCAAACTTTCCCATCAAACACCTCTCACGTTCCCCATGGGTCTCTCTGCTGCAGGATCCTTGATCACCATGGGGACCGCTACACCTCAGCTGCAGGTGTAAATCCCAGATCAAGTCAACATCTGCCCGAGCGACCATCTGAAAGTAGCCGTGTGGCCATGGCAGCTCAGGCAGTGGTCTGGGCTAGCCACTCGGATAAAGAATCATAGAATCATAGAATATCAGGGTTGGAAGAGACCTCAGGAGGTCATCTAGTCCAACCCCCTGCTCAAAGCAGGACCAATCCCCAACTAAATCATCCCAGCCAGGGCTTTGTCAAGCCTGACCTTAAAAAACCTCTAAGGAAGGAGATTCCACCACCTTCCTAGGTAACCCATTCCAGTGCTTCACCACCCTCCTAGTGAAAAAGTTTTTCCTAATATCCAACCTAAACCTCCCCCACTGCAACTTGAGACCATTACTCCTTGTTCTCTCATCTGGTACCACTGAGAACAGTCTAGATCCATCCTCTTTGGAACCCCCTTACAGGTAGTTGAAAGCAGCTATCAAATTCCCCCTCATTCTTCTCTTCTGCAGACGGCATGTACCGAGGATCTCGGATGGGGCTGTGTTTGGGTAGCTGCCCACACCACCCTGGCCACAAATGCTGCTGAGCAGAGCTAGAGAGGGTATGTCTCGCTGAGCTGGGAATGACACCGCCCAGCCGCAGGGCAGACTCCCTGTTAGTGCTACTCTCCGCCGGGATCGCCGGTCACTTATTTGCAGCCCACAAGGAACCCTGTGCACCCCGAGCCTCCCTCCCACCCCCTCCCGCATTGGAGAGAGCAGCCCTTTGGCTTGAGGCTTTGCGTCTCCCAGCCAGGGGAGTGGGGGAAGCCTCCAGCCTGTTGGTTTTTTTAAAGCCTTTTCTTTTCTCATTATAGGATGTTGCAGAACAACCAGCTCAGACGGATCCCCGCCGAGGCAATGAGGGATCTTCCAAACCTCCAGTCTCTGTAAGTCATTAAGGATCCCCACTGGGAGCTGCCGGCTTCTCAGCGCTGGAGTCGTTAATTCCTCCGTCCCTTCTGCCTTGTCTTTCCCCTCGTGAGCTACTGTCCCTAGGCTTGTGGGGAGGGAGGGCACCTGTTGTGGCAGGGCCACTGTCTTGTTAGGGTTGCTGGAATTAGATCTCCCCATGTGAGAAGGCCACCGCAGCTGGTGAACGTTTCCAGGAGCCCTGGAAAAAGCTCTCTACGAGGCAAGCTATAGAATCATAGAATCTCAGGGTTGGAAGGGACCTCAGGAGATATCTAGTCCCACCCCCTGCTCAGAGCAGGACCAATCTTCAACTAAATCATCCCAGCCAGGGCTTTGTTGAGCCTGACCTTAAAAACCTCAAAAAAAACCAACCCTAGCCCTGCAGTTACTGTCTAGCCTGGAGCAGCACAGAGCCTAGCAGGCTTGAGTAGGGAACTCAGGCCTTGTTTGCATGCGACAATTTAACTATAGAGGTACAAACCCTGAGCCCTGGTGTGGCTGCACCTAGACTGGTATAAAAGTGCTTAATACCCCAATAGTGGTTCCTAGACAGGAAGGGGAATAAGCCATACTAGTAAAAGGCACCTTTATACCAGCATATCTGCAGCCACACTAGGGCTTGTACTGGTCTGACAATATCGGTTAAAAAAATTACCCCCCGTAACTGAACTAGTTGTACTAGTACAACTTTCAGGGGTAGCCCTGGCCTCAGAGCCAGGACAGCAGGGTTCCATGCCTGGCTCTCCCATTGCATTTAAGGTGTAACTACTTTGACAGTTGGCCTCATCTACACTAAAATGTTAGGTTGACCCAGCTACATCGCTCAAGGGTGTTAGAAATCCACACACACACCCCAAGCGGTGTAGTTAGGCTGACCTAACCCCCAGTGTAGACAGTACTAGATAGATGGAAGAATTCTTCCGCCGACCTATCTACCGCCTCTTGTGGAGGTGGATTAACGACAGCAACGGGAGAACGCCTCCCATCGGCGTAGGCTGTGTCTACACTGAAGCGCTGCCGCTGTGCCGCGGTAGCGTTTTAATTGTAGACAAGCCCTTATTAGCGTGACCAATGGATGGTGTAATTTCCAGGCATTTTTCACCGTGTAAAAACATTCTGTTTTCATCCCCCGCCCCCCACCACCAGGTTGGTGAAGAATTAGAGAGCTGAAATGTCAAGGTTCTTTTCCCCACACAAAAGTGAGATCGTTTTTAATGCTCCACGTTTTCCAGCGGGTTTGTGGCTGGGCGCCGTTCTCTGTATGGTTTAAAGCAGGCTGAGAATGTTAATTCTGTCGGTAGAGCTTTCAAGTGTTTATGGCTACCAGTAGTTGGTGCTGTCGCTGACTCTGCCCACGATCACCCCCTTCCTCCCTCTGGCTCTCCTGCCTTCCCCTCCTGCTCCCCCAGATCTGTCAAATGGGGGAAACGCTTCCCATCTGCTGGAGGAGCGCTCAGGCCTGGGTGCGAGGTGCGCCATGTGATCTGTTCTACGCCAATCCTACAGCAAGATTAAAGATTAGGCTGTGGGGGGAGGGGCAGCCCCTTCTCGGGCAGCATTCGCCAGGGCAGCGGTCTGGGCCTAACGCAGGCAGACCCCTGCTCAACACCCCACCAGGGGCAGACATCTACCCAGAGGGCAGCTGGGCAGCCAGCGAGCACAACGCCCCGTGCCTGGGCTCGACAGCTCCCCTTTCTCCGAGCTCAGTGCGGCGTTCCCGGGGAGTGACCTGCTCTGCAGTGCATGTGCGAGCCGGCTGGTGTGGTGTTCTGTCCCCCTCTGGTGGTGGCCGGGCCACACAGATGTTGAAGAGCCTGCCTGGGCTAACAGAAAGTCTCTCTACGCTTTTAGAGGCAGAAGTGCCAGGTTCAATCCCCGCAGCTGAAAACCCTCCCCAGTGTAACACATGCAAAGGATGCAGAGAGCTCCACAAAGCTGAGCAACGCAGGGACTTGTTTAAAGTTCAGGGGGTACGACCCATCACGTTTCTCCAGCACAGCAGGCTCAGACTGGGTCTCTACTAGGACAGGGTGCTTAGGCGCTGCAGCATCCATCTATCTAGATTGCATCAGGACAGAATCACCACAAAGTTTGCTTTTCGATTCACCTAGCCCACCCTGCAGATCAAGCACAGAGCAGTGTCTCGCTAGGCTGTTCCCAGGCTGGTATGGGGAGCTTCTGTTTGTATATTCTTCTTCTTCTCAGATTTGCAGTGCTCTGGTCCACTAACATGACACTGAAAGCAGAGGTGCATTCGAGCTACACCCACGCAGGCAGTGGTGAGCCGGAGCTTCCCACACATGGGACCTCAGGCAGCACGGAAGGTATATTCCGGCTGCACACACCTGCAATGCTCTGAGTACAGCAGAGAGTAGCACAGGGCGAAGATGTGTTGCAGTTAGTTTTGTGGTGTGGGACTGACCTGAGCCTACCAGGAGCACTGGCCACATCAGGTTGCATCCAGGTTCCGGCTCAGCTCCGTAAAGCCACGAAGCTGGTGCTCAACATCTGAGCCAATGCTTGGAGATCACCTTCAGAGTTCCCGGGGGGCTGGTGTGACTCCAGCAAAGCTGCTGGAGTTGCTCCCCTCTGACACCAGGGTCGTATTTGGCTCCATGGGATTCACTGGGATTGGATTGGCCTGTGGGATGCAAACCCAAGCTTGGAGGGCTATTCCGAAAGGTTTGAGGTCCTTCGGCCACTGAACCCACTCGGAGCCGGGATCAGAGAAACACTGACTCGCTGACACTGCTGTGTCTTTTGCTCTTTACGCAGCAGTGATAGTATGGAGCAATCACATGGGCCCAGTGGAGTCCAGATAATTAGTTTACTAACGATATGTAACATGCCAGGCCTAGCTACATACACAGGCAGCTGCTCCGGATGGATTTTGGTAGCATCAAACAATAGAACACAGTGAGCTGCACTAGAGGATTCACAAGCTATTTAAAGGGATACTACCCTCCTCCTCTATACCAGGGGTCGGCAACCTTTGACATGCGGCTCACCAGGGTAAGCACCCTGGCGGGCCGGGCCAGTTTGTTTACCTGCCGTGTCCGCAGGTTCGGCCGATCGCGGCTCCCACTGGCCACGGTTCGCCGCTCCAAGCCAATGGAGGCAGCAGGAAGCGGCACGAGCTGAAGGATGTGCTGGCCATGGCTTCCCGATGCCCCCATTGGCCTGGGACGGCGAACTGTGGCCAGTGGGAGCCGCGATCGGCCGAACCTGCGGACGCGGCAGGTAAACAAACTGGCCCGGCCCGCCAGGGTGCTTACCCTGGCGAGCCGCATGTCAAAGGTTGCCGACCCCTGCTCTATACTATACTCATAAAAAAAAGACCTTATCTTCTGTGTGTTCCCGTGCAGCAATTTTCCTCTGAGAGCCAAGATTACTACAGAAATACCCTTCTGTGACCTCCCCATTCCACCTATTCTGTTTGACGAGTGGCCATTAGGATAAACTGGGTCTGATTTGAGAGAGATGAAAGGTTGTGGAGTAAACAGCGTTCCCCTGTAGCAAACTTCATTGTGTTTTAAGGCAGATATAAAGCTAAGCTGATTTGCTCAGGTTTCATTGCTGCTGCCAGTACATCTTTGAATGCAAGTAACTGGCCCCTGGCCATGAGCCCCTGGGTTCTAGCCGTGTCCCCATAGAGACAGCCATTTCTGAAGAAGAGAAGGTAGGTCTGCATTAGAGATTTTTTTTCTCTTCGTAATTCAAGTATCGGTGAGTAATTTTCCACAAGTTTATGAGGCTCGTGTGTATTTATTACCGGCATAGTAAGCAGATTGGAACATCCATAGATCATTGTAGCGTGGCTTCCAAGCATTACGAGTTGGGGTATGTGAGCCCTGGCTTGTTCACCTTGCCCAGAGCTTCTGGTCTTTCCATTCAGAAATGGGAAAGGATTTTATGGCACTTCGTGACTATTCATCACCCTGAATTCTGGGGCTTGCCTGGCACTTCGTAGGCTATTAACTGACTGCTGTGCCATCAGGGAACACACCATAAAACATCATAAGCTGACGGGACTTGCAGACTGGAGCAAACTTGAGTGTGTGGGGGGAGCATGGACAAAAACCGAGTGTGTGCTGTTTGTTTTCTCGCTCTTGCAGCTCTATGTGTTAGAACAAAAATCTCCTGCAGTCTGGGCAGGTGGCTGCATCATTGACATCACCGTCTGTTGCCCCGGCAGCCGTTATGAAGTGACTCCGATGTGAAATCGGAGCAGAGTTGGGTGCGGAGGGAGGAAACTCGCATGTAAACATCCACAGGAGCCTCCTCCAAAATGCTGGAGAACATTCGGGTTAGAGACAAGCCCGCCTCACAGTGGGTTTGATTTGCTTGGGTTTTTTGGATGAAATCAGGATTTTGGCTTCTTGTGACTGTGCAAGTATTTGTTGGGTTGGCTGGATGACCAATTTTCTGCCTATGTTTGCTGTTTAGTTTGATTCATGCTTCGTGACCAGTCATCTAAGTCACATGGTATTGTTTCTGCCCTCTGTTTGGATAGCTGGAACTGTTTAAACAGGAAAATAACAAGTAACAGTTAGGAAAACTCTTGTTCATTCATAAATTCCCTTGTTCTCATTTCCTTGTGGGTGTTCACTTGCAGGGCCGGCTTTAGGCCAATTCCACCAATTCCCCCAAATCGGGCCCCGCGCCTAAGAGGGCCCCACGCCCAGTGGCAGGGTTGCCGGGGTGGGGGCAAGTGGCCGAGAATCCCTTCCCTGGCTAGAGGCTCCTTTTTAATTTTTACTCACCCGGCGGCGCTCCGGGTCTTCGGCGGCACTTTGGCGGCGGGTCCTTCACTCACTCCGGGTCTTCGGCAGCAGGTCCTTCAGTGCTGCTGAAGACCCGGAGCGAGTGAAGGACCCACCGCCGAAGACTAGGAGCGCCGCCCGGTGAGTACAAGCCCCACGTATTTTTTTACGTGTTTTTTTTAGTCATCCCTGCTGGGGCCCCGTCGAAACTG